GGAACAAGCGAGGGCCCTGGGACAGCAGCTCTTGGAGGCCGTTGACAATTCAGCCTGTCCAGAAGTTGCTTGATGCGGTCTGTTCCTCTTGGGCCAACCTTTCTGAGCGCGAGTTGGCCGACTCGCGAGGTGTCAAGCTGCCGCGCATCGGGTCTCGTGGCAAGGCCCCGCAGATGCATTGGGCATTGGTCCTTGAGCAAGGCAAGAGACCGCCTGTGCGTCAACCAGCCTTCTATGCCATCAGGTGGCTGCACCCAAAGTTCAACATGTACGTCTGTCTGCACGGTGACTCCACAGGTGTCGCCGCCTTGCAGCATGCTGATGCGGTGAAGCGTTGGAGTTGTGACCCACCATCGTTCTTGCAGCCAGGTCTCGATCACCACAGTCGCTGGTATTCCGTTGTTCGCGCTGCTGTGGAGCAGCCATGTGATACGGATTTTTGCAGCACGATTTGTGACCAGCTCGATGTTGCAGTATCTGCTGCTGAGGCTGTTGCCCAGCAGGAGGCTTTAGCTGGTTGGAAGCAATGGCTGTTGGACAAAGTCAGGGCGGGTGCTAAGCGAGCCCATTCGGTCGTTCGAGGTGTTACACCATGGGCTCCCACTACGGCTCTGCTCTCCCATTGGGTGGTTGTGGCTGATCCGCAGGCTCTGCTCGATGCTCAGGCTACGCAGTACTCTCGGCTCTGGCATGCGCATCAGCAAACTCGGCAATATCGTGATCCGTTTCAGCCGTAGCTTCCCCTTCCTCGTCTTTCTCCTGATGCTCTTCGGGCTTGCAGTCGTAAGTTTGCTAAGGGCACTGCAACTTCGATCGGCGGTTTTCACATGCGTCACTTCGAGTCGCTGTCGGATGACTCGCTCGACCTCTTGTCCGTGATCTACGTTGCAATGGAGTCCAGCAGTCCCATACCCACGCAGGCTAGTGTCACCAGCATGTCTCATTGGCAAGCAAGCAGGGGGCTCCAGGCCCATTGGCTTCTTTTCCCCTGGCAAGGGGAGAAGGGGTTATGCTACGAGGTGGGGGGATGATCACCGACGGCCTTATTTTGCTGCTGGCAAGTTTACAAAATCCACAGATGTGGTGTGGCGGCAATCCGTGAGGGGGGAGGCCGCGTTGCATGATGGCAAAGTCTCAGCAATCTTGTTGTGGGACCTTGCGAAGTGCTTTGGGTCGATTAACCTCTGCCTCCTCCCCCAACGATGCGCCCAACATGGCGTTGATGTGACGATCGATCGGCTGGTCATAGCCATGTGCAGCAATGCGCGCTTCGTTACGATGGGCCAGCTGCTTCGTGCTCCTTTCTGTGCCCAGCACGGCATTCTGGCAGGCTGCCCCTTTTGCAAGTACTATGGTAAGGGTGTGTAGAATCGGTCCGCTCGGCTCGGCTGGCCTCCCCAGGACTGCATCGCTCGACGTGTGCATCGACGATGATGGTTTATCGACTGTCGGGACGTGCTCGGAAGTAATATACGACCTGTCGGAGGCGGCCACCTCGTTGGGCGCTGCCATTGTTGACGACATCGGTGGCAGTATCTCTCATGAGAAGGCTAGCCTCGTGGCCTCTCATCGCCATGTTGCCGTTGCTCTACGCAAAAGGCTTGGAGCTCCCGCTGGCCAGCGAGTCGTGTCTTCTGCAGCTGGCCTTGGAGTTGATCACACCTCTGGACGGCCCCGTACGGCCCCCATGCGTTCCAAGGTTTTCCTGTTTCGCATGCTGACGCTGAAGCGCAAGACGAAACGGCTGCAACAGATACGGCAAGCTTTAGGTATACACTCCAGGAAGCTTTCTATTACTGGGCCTCTGCCAGGCCATTATTACGGGTGCGAGGTTTACGGGGTCTCGGACAGGAAGTGGAGGATTGCTCGACGTGCTTTTGGTCGCTGCATCAGGCCCAAGGCTGGATCCCGCTCGCTTACCTCGGCTGTGGTTCTCGACAGGGACCCTACCTACTATGGGCCCGTTGCCCCCACCCTGAGATACGCCAGGGAGCCTCGGGGGACCCACATGCGTACTTTTGATTTCACCTTGACCTGGTCCAAGCTCGGATCGCCTTGGGAGTCTGTGTTCTTAGGTCCTGGGCCCGATCGCTGGAAGCAGGTCGCGGGCCCCATCAGCGCCATGGAGCTCAGCCTGCGCCGCGTTTGATGGTCAATGACGAGCTTCACGGTAATGAAGGACCAGTTCGGAGTTACATTGCCGCTCACGCTTGTGAGCCCTGCATTATTGAAACGTCATCTTAGGCTAGCTGTCGTTCACCTTAATGAGCGCCGCGCAGGCGCCAAGTTTCTCCCCGCACTTCAACGGCCATTCCGTGTGTGCCATGATCAGGTTTATGCTATGTTGCAGTCGTCCAAATTCACGTCCTTCGAGAAGGGCCCCATCAGAACTCTCGCCTTTGCTGCAGTATGGAGCAAGGCCCGTGCTCGTGCTGCGGGATATCAGATGGCGAGTGGACGTTGTGAATTATGTGGCAGAGCGGACGACGCGATCCTGCGCCGGTTGTGGCACTGCCCCGCCTGCGATGACACCCGTAAGGAAGTCCTTGGTAGAGATGCTCACCTGGCTCCCCCCTCAGACCTCACAGAGGAGAGTGACCCAGAGCAGTACCTCCTCTACACCCGAGAGCTCTATGTTCATCCTGGTGACTATCTCCCTCGCCCAGCTCATGATATCCACGGTCCAGGTTCTGGCGTCCAGGTTTCGTGGGCTGGGGGCCCCTACAACCACAGCGCCATCCTCGACGGTAGGCTCTATGTCGGCGGCTCCTGCTTTAGGAACGTGTCTCCTGAGCTCTCCAGGGCGGGGTGGTCGGCGGTTAGCGTTTCAGAACAAGGGGAAGTGCAGTGCATTATCTCTGGGCCCCTTCTTGCGCACTTGCCCCAAACGTTTCAAACTGCTGAGTTTGCAGCCTACACTACGGCTGCCCAGCGTGGTGATGAAGGTAATCGCATGTTTAGCGACTGCCAGAACGCGGTTAACTCAGCTCTCGACCCCGCCCCCACTCGCTTGTTTTTTTTCGCCGCCCGCACGCGGGGCTTATGCTCCAGGCTTTGGGCCCCATCGCCGGCGCTGTCAGTAAGGTGAAAGGGCGCGTTCCCGATAGTTCCGACCTCGCACCTGAGGTGCGCGCCCATAAGTTTGGCAATGCTTGCGCTGATCAGGCTGCCCGCCTGGCCGCCCTGAGACACCGTCACCAGGCCCAGCTGATGCTGAGCGGGCTGCTCGGGCAGCGCGTGTCTCGCGCGCGGCGCGCAGGCTGGCTGCGCGCGCCATGTCTTTGTGGCCCAAACTGGATATTTCAGAGGCCTCCTGGACCAAACCCCCCTCCGCTCCGAGGCCTCCCCCCCTGCCCCCTCATGAGTGGTCCTGGGAAGGCAGGTTTTGGATCTGTGCCTCGTGTTTTCGTTGTGCTCGCGGCCCCCAGAAGCCCTCCCCTGGGCGGTGTCGTGGAGCGGTCGCGATCAAAGGCCATACGGGGCAGGGCTTGATCGACCATGGGCACAGACTTATTTTCTTTGATGTGAACCAGGGTGGAGGCATCCTAGTTGCATGCACCCGATGTTGTTATTACACGTGCGGTGGCCAGGTCAGGAAGCTTGGCAAGCAATGCCTAGGGCCTCCTGACAAGCCCGACCATGGCCGCATGCACGCTTGGGGTGAGATTCTGAAAGGTCCGCACCCCAAAAGCGGAGTGCCTCTTTCTTCTGGCCTCGATGACATGTCATCTGAGCCACCTGTCGGCCACTCCGACATGGCCAACGACCAGGCGCCCGCGCCGCCCCCCCCGATTGTCGTCCCGCCGTCGGATCGTGTTCGTGACGGGAGGGGGGCGGGACGGGCTGGGCCGCCTGGTCACCTGGGACTTTCTTCCTCCTCCTCCACCCCTCCCAATGCGGAGGGGTTTGGGGAGAGTGACGAGCAGCTCCGTTCGGCGGAGGATGAGGCCCCGTCTACCTCAGGAGCTGCTCGTGCAAGGTCAGCGGGGTCTGGTGACTCCGACTGAGCCTTCGGTCCTCGGGGTGCCCTTCGTCTGCGTTGGCCGCCGCCCTGGTCCCCTGCCCCAGCTGACGTTTCCGCCCAGTGCTGTCTCATCCTGGCGGTTTTCACTTCCTCAGCGGTTGATGTTGGAAATGCCCCTCCTCCTCCGCCTCCGTCTTCGGGCCGCGACCCTGGCCTCAGCGGGGGCCGTGCGGGGTGTTCCGGGCGGGCGATGCCTGGAGCGCCTCCCTGGCCCGGCGCAGCCACCCAAGCAGGCCTTCGAAGGCTTGCTTAGCAGGCCTTCGAAGGCCAACAAGTAGGGCGAAAATGTCAGCCTTGCTTCTTGGGGGCGGAAATTTCCGCCCTACTTCTTCCGCTTCTTATGGGTGGATTTCCGGCGCAGTTGTAAGTTAGAGAAGAAAACCAAAGAAGGGCGGATCCGGAGTCAGGGTCCTGGGGTCTTCAGACCGCCCGCGCGCCCGTCCAACAGGCACGTTCACGGATGGTCCAAACGGAGGGGGTCCAGCCCAGATCCTCGACAATGTGTGTTTCAGCCCCGCATTTGCTCATCGATTTCGGTCTCCAGGGCCCGCTGTCGGGCCCCAGGGCCATCAAGAATGGACCCGAGGCGAAACATTGGCCTTGGTGAAGGGTTCGGGACCTCCTGGGGCCGCGTGCCGAAAAGCTCGCATCGTCAAGTGTCAAGGCCCATGGGTGGGTCCACAAACGGGGTGATTCCAGCCTGGTGCAGTCGAAGCCAGGAGCTCTTCCAGCAGGCGCAGATGCACCCAGGGGGGAAATTGAGCAAAACACATCCGGGCCGTTGAAGAAAGAACCCTTCTCGCTTGGAAGGGGTTCAGGGTCCATTAATCGTTTTACAACTTGTGTTAGGTGTTCCTGAGGTTTTCTCTGATAGAGGGAAGCGCCTCGTTCCTCCTTCTGGGTTCCTCATGACAGCGGCACGACTGTGTGCAAAAACAGGGCACCCCACGGCAAGCAGACCGGCCCGCCCCAGGAGCCGGTACGAGGTGTCCTACAGCTGGCTCGGCTGGCTTCTGACGCCCTGCCGGTGGGGGCTCGAGCGGCTAGGGCTGCGCCGCTGACCCTCGCGGATCGGGGCGTGCGGCAGATCGGCGACTGGAAGGGCTCGGCATCGCTCTGACGTGTGCATTTTCTTTCTCGGCGAGGACCTTCGAGGAGCATCCTCGACCATCTGGCGGAGAAAACACGCACGAAACCGAGGAAAGACACAGGGAATGGACTTCCGAGCGATGGCCAGAGGGGTGAAGTTGCGCCAGGGTGTGGTTTGCCATCGTCACCGTTGGGGGCTCAGGGACCACCACGTTGCGCCAGAGGTTTGACGAGGCCTTTTTGGGGTGCGGCAGAGATCCCTGTCGAGGTCCTCACCCGCCCCCCCACCCCCCCAGGCGCGGGCGGCAAACCACAATCTTGGCAAACCGCACTCTTCGGAGTTGCCGAACAGAGAAAAATGGATGGGAAGACGGGGGGGGGTCGCTTGACGCGGGCGTTGCGATGCCTGAGCACACACCACCTGCACCACAAGGGTGGCAAGCGCCGTCCCCCAACTTTCACGGGTCAGAAGAACTTCAGCCGTCTACGCAAAGCCCGGCACCTTGCTAAAGATGTGGTCCAAATGTTGTAATTATGATCGTTACGTAAGTACTTTGTCATGGGCTGCAGTTCGCCTCTGGCTGCAGCTGTGGTATTCATTCAGGGGTAGGGGGCGCTGCGGTCCCAAAAAGCGCCACCGCCCGATTCGGCCCCCGAAGTCAACCAAGTGAAAAAGAGACTCGGGGAGCGAGCGGGCACGGGGTGGTCCGCAAGGGCAGGCGAGGGGCCAGCAAGGTCTTGACAAGAGCGCTCCGATCAAGACGAGGCAGGCAGCAACTTTTTCGAGAAGCGGGTATGGTAGGTTTGCGTCGTGCCGACCGGCGGCGACCCCGCCGCTGGCGTTCACCCAGAATCGGTGGATGTTGAAAGAGCTGACGTTTCGGAAACGGCCGATCGCTCAAGAATGAACGACCCCTGCGGGAAGGGCGAAAGGTCTCCAGCAGTTCTGAGTCGCTAGCAGGCATACAGATTCGGGCTCCCGTCCAATTTGAAGGGGGCGCCCTGCAGAGTAATATGGAGATTCTATGCTTGCAAACTCCACGTCGGATTTTTGTTCAGGGGCATGACGCCAGAGTTTCGTAGATCACCTCCTTCCCAATCGCAGACTGGGTGGACTCCGGCTCGCGCGGGCCTCTCTCCGAGATGTATTGCTTCTGACAGTGCTCTGCCTGCGCCTGCGTTGTCGGGGCGAACTCTGGCAGCTCGCCGGGAGTGTGCGGAAAGCGAAGCATCCGAGGCGGGGGCTGCCGCGGCAGAGCGCGCACCCACCTCCGCTCCACCCACACGCCGGTTGACGGAACACCCTAACTCTGGAGTGGTCCCACAAAGTAAATTAGCGACTCGACATATGCCAGGAGGGGATAAAACACACAGACACAATTAATCGTTGATTCCCCAGAAAACATGGGAAAGTATGGGGATTGGGGGGAAGACAAAACCCCAGAACATACGGGAAAATATGGAGAGTCCTTTTATTTGCGTGTATTTATTTCTGTGTCCCAGGGCCCCTTCAATGAGGATACATGTGCGGTGCCGCGTGTAAGTTTACCGCATCGAGCAGCGACGTTGGAAAGCATATCAGTAGCAGCCCCAGCGGCGCTGGGTGGGAAATGCGGTGCCCCCACGCCCCCGCTGTCAAAACCCAGGGGTGGTGGACCTAAACGGTGTTTTTGGCGACTTCATGGGCCGTTTTCGCTTCGATCTCGTTTTGCGTCAAAGGCGGACTGAAGACGAAACGAAGGGAATCGAAAACAAAACGAAAACGAAAAACACCCTTTAGGACCAGCCCTGAAAGGAGGAGGAGGAGGAGGAGCAGGAGGACGAGGAGGGGTTTTGACAAAACCCCCAAAGCGATACTCGACAGAAAACCTGACACGGCCTCCGCGCCGCAGCGGCCGGCGCCGACGGAACCCGTCCAGCAGCCGCGCAGAGAGTGGACGTTTGCGACGTTCCCAGTTGTCACCGAGTCGTTACTTTCGCGCTGTTTCCAGTTGTCAACTTCGCGCTCTCGCGCTGCCTCCCAGGGGAGAAGGGGAGGATGAGGAGGAGTCGGAGCCGAACGGCGAAGCGCGAAGCGCGAATAGCTTCGCGCCCTCGAGGGCGCCCTTAAGGTGGTGACCGTCCTACACTTGAGTCGGGCCTGTCCCCTACAGGGGGGTCTTCGATGAAAAATTAAAAGAAACAAAAATGCCCAACAGATGCCCAAAAATATTCAAAGCATAGTCCCCAGACTATGTTTTGATTATTTCTGAATATTCCCCCTGTAGAGGGACAGGCCCGACTTCACGTTACCTCAATCCACAGTGGTGCCGTAGGGGTGATCCCAGGTGCGACCGCTGCGACCCGTCGACCTTTGCGGTCCCTGCCGATCAGCGGCAACGGGTGGCGGTGCGAAACCTTGCTCCTGTCGTAGAGTCGAGATGCCACACTTATGGTGCCGCTTTGTCAGATCGCTCATCGGCGACAGGTCACTCGTGCAGGTCATCAGAAGACGACGCATGGTGCCGCGTAGTGCGTGCATTCGCCTCGGCCGCGGATGCGGCCGACCCAGCGACCCCGAGCAGCGTGTTCGGGAACACTTGCAGGAGGGCGTAGAATTAAGTCGGGCCTGTCCCTCTACAGGGGAATATTCAGAAATAGTCAAAACATAGTCTGGGGACTATGTTTTGAGTATAATTTGGGTATCTTTTGGGCATTTCGTGTTTTTTTGTGTTTCGATTTTTCGTCCAAAATGCACCTGTAGCCCTGGTCTGCTGGCCATCGGCAACGGGCGACCGTCAAGGGTACCCTTGCATCCTTGCGTCGACCTTGCTCGTGGCACACGCGCCAGTTCGGCCAGGATGACGGTGCCTTAGGGTACTCTTGCATCCTTTGGTTTTCGGCTGCGCCTCGCTCAAAATTGCCAGCACATGGCTTCCCAGGGCCTTTGCATCGTCATCGCGCATCCTTGTGGCACGAGTTGGCTGTACACGTCCGCTGCCCCCTGGCCCAGCCCTTCATGGGCCCAGGGGCTATGTGTGCGCCCTCCTGGCGAAGCCAGGAGGGCGCGTGGCGTATGCACCGCCGCTGGGTTTGGGAGCGGCCTGGCCTCGAAGCAGTCGATATGCATAGACTTCGTCGCCCTACCTCGGGCGCCTGGTGGGACCGCAGGGGCACTGTTGGAGGACACGGGCGGGTCGGAGTCCGCGTGCCAGAGTTGCTCGACCGAGAACGCGCGACGTCGAGTCCGCGGGCGCACGGCCCACGCGTGCACAATAACCCGGGTCTCGACCAGCTCGATGAAGCCTCTTGGAGGATCCCGACTCCGTCTCGTGAGCGCAGCTAGGCCGGGCATGCCAGGAGCAAAGGCAGCTGCTGGCGCGCCTGGGAATCGTCCCGTCTGGTGAAGGCCAGAATCGGCACCCTGCGCCGCAAGGGGCCACTCAAACGGGACGGCGGCTGAGGATGGGAGAGGGGGGACGGAGGGGTCGGGGGAGGCGGAGAGGCAGACGGGGGTGTTTTTTTCCCAGCGCAATATTCTGACATGGAAAGTATGGATGCTTGATTTGATCCGAAAATATGGTGGTCACTAGAAGCGGTCTCAGGTGTGAGCAACCATTGCAATGGCAATCTTCATATGTTACAGAATGCCCGGTCCGCTCCCGAACAGATCATATGTTATCAGTCTTCCGTGTGCGTGCGGACCGAAAAGCGGGGTCCGCTCCCTAGCATTATCGGGGCCGCGTCGTCGGACAGGCAGGGCCGACTGCGCGCGCCCAATCGGATTCCACGCACCACCTCGGACGACGAAGGGGGCAGGGGCAGTGGGCAGACCTCTGGAGGACTGGTGTCGATGTCAATTGCCTTGGTATCTTGTCTCTGCCCGGTTCAAAGGTAAGTGACGTGCTTACGGCCTCCACCCCATGGAAACGTGGCAATTATGACTTAGCGGCGGCGTCCCGAACCACAATCCCATCCAACGGTTCATTGCAGATCTCGTCTGCAACAGTATTGTGCTCTGGGAGATGGGGGTGAGGGGGACAAGCAAAGGGAGAATGAGCGAGAAGAGGATAGTAGAGCGGGAGGGTGACGCGGAGAGTGGCCAAGGGGAGGGTTATGGGCAAGCAGCAGGGTCGTTTTAGGCGATCCCCCATGCCCATGTAGTCCGCACGGTGGTATTTCTGAAGCTGTGCGTGTTGGCTCGAAAGAGATGACGGCGCCCGCCCCGCCGCGCGCGCGCGCGGCCGGCCGGCCCTTGCCTCTTGGGGCTCTTGGGGCCCTCTTGGAGGCCTCTTGGGCAGTCCTGGGGTGGTATTGGGGACCTCAGGCCGTCTGGGAGCGTCGGAAAGGAAACAGGCGAGAACGCCGACATGTTTCAAACAACGAAGGAACGAAGGCAAGTCAATGACTGTTGCCTCTCAGGGTCCTCTTGGGAGACATCTTCGAGGCCTCTTGGGGCATCTTGGAGACATTTTGGACCATCATGAGGCCATGTGGGGCGTCTTGGGGCGATCTCTGGGCGTTCTGGGGCCATCGTGGGCCTCTTGGACCCTGTTGGCCCGTTTTGGGGCCCCCACTGTTCCGAAAGAGTCACGCGAGAAACCGCGAGAAGCCCCAGGATAAGATTTCGCGATGTGGGTCTGGGTCTTTGAAGGACTCCTCAGGAATGAGGACTGAGGTTGAGAGGATGATGGCAAGGACCTGAGGGCACGCCCACTCCGTGCCCAGAGGCACGGTGGCGGATCTACATAACCATGAGAACCTGATGATTATGGTTCTGACGGATCGCATCGCCTTTTCCGAGCTCCAATGGGGGAGCCGCCTGGGGGTATTTCAATTTGTTTTTGGTTGGAACCGTGGGGGGTGGCAGTGACTCGGGTTAGCGGTCGGTGGATTGGGCGAGGTGGCAAATATTATCCAAAGGTTGCCGCCTCTGCCGCCGACCCCTATCGAGCGACTGATTGGAATCGTGGGGGGTGGCAGTGACTCAGGT